CATTCCTTTTTTGTGTTTGGGAACAACCCTCTGTCAGCAATTGGAGTTCTCCTGGCGTTTTAATTGTGTGGTTTTGCCGTTACTTCTCAAAGAAGGGCATGAGCTTCGGGTTGGCCAATCAGAGGACTCCACATCCCTGGATTTATTCGTGTGACAGAAGCAAGGCCAATTGGAAAAATTATTTTCCGTGTTGCATGAAAGTGGGAGAGGATGGCACTTCCTACTGTGACCCTAAACATAGGCTATAAAAGTGACAATGATTTTCTCTGCCATTACACGGAGAGACCCAGCATGAGAATGAAGTTAGTGTAGAAAGCAGAGTGGAGCAAGAGAGTGGGAAAATAAGAATCTAGTGAAGGATTTAATTTCTTCATCCTGCTGTGCCTCTTGGACTTCTACCTCTTGTGAGTCAATATAGTTTATCCTGTGTTTCAGTTAATTTGTTTGGTACTTCTGTCGTTGTAACCAGACAGTCCTACTACTATAATATTAAAAATATTCCATATCTCTAAAATTTCATTGATTAATATATTTGCAAGTTCTGGAAAATAATCTATTCTAAGTATATATAACTCTATGAATGTAGAACACTGACTATCTCAAATATTAGCTCGTATTGGTTATTATTGTTGTAGTGTTTTTATCATTACTACGCACATATAAGACTCAATTTAACCTTTCCCATAATTTTTGGATATTTATATTTTCAAATTTTTGTCTCTGTTAAGTAAAACTTGCTGTCTATATTTCCATATAAATTATTGCTGCTTAGAATTCTAACTATTAAAACTGGGGGAGAAGTATCAGCTTTTTAAAGCTTTTTGTTATATTTGCCAAGTTTTTCGTTCTAATCAGTTTTTCTATTCAGTTTTCTAATCTGTTTTACATTGCCCACCTTATCACATTCTCACCAGCACTGAGTTTGTAAGGTAATATAATCATTACCAATTTGAAAGATACAATTTTAGTTTTTTCTTTTGTGATTGAGTCTATGTCATTATTATGTGATCATTGTCCATTGATGCCTCATTGTAAGCTCTGTTAAAAACTTCGCTTTTTCTTTTTAAACAAGAAATTTACTTTTAAAATACCACTTAATAATCACTCTGAAATAAATAGTCATCTACCTAAGGGGCATATGACTCATCTCAATCTTTTTTCTTTTCAACTGTAGTTAAATATAGAGTCCTGATCTGGGTCTCAGGAGCTGCATTTTAGGAGGAGAAGCCCTGGACAGACAACCTCATTCAGGCCCTTCCCAGCCTATAAATCTATAAGCTGCCCTAACCTTCCCACGCAAGTTTAAAGGCAGAGAGGAAAAGTAGGACCCTTAACAGATATCTGTACACCGATGTTCAAAGAAGCATTCCTCACAATAACCAAAACGTGGAAGCAATTCCTCTCACTCTCCTTCCAAAAACGTTTACTGAAAAGGCTTAACACTTTCCCCACTGTCTGGGGGTGTTTTCTGTATCATAAAGTACATTTTTATATATACTAAGAAGGTGCTTCCAAACTTTAGTGGGCTAAGAATCACCTTGTGATTTTGTTTCAAGTGCAAATTTCTGGGGCTATTCACAGAGACTTTGATTAATGAGGTCTGATGAAAACCCAAAGAGTCTACATTCCACAGGTAGGTCAGGGGGTTCTGCTGTGTGAGGTTACCAGGAACAAACTTGAGAAACATTACATGAGCTCTTTTCAACACTATCTGTTCTGTGTTCTCTGTCTCTGTCTCTGTCTCTGTCTCTGTCTCTGTCTCTGTCCCTGTCTATCTCTCTGTCTGTCTGTCTCTCTCACCCATTTACTGTTATTCTCCATTTCTACCCTCTGCCCCAGGCAACCACTAATCTACTTTCTGTTCTGTCTCTGGACTAAACTTTTGAATAAGAGGAGGAATGAATGTGCATTGCTTTACTAGATATTAAAATGTTTTACAAAATGGTAATAAGTAAAAGCATATTATTGGCACATGAATAGATAAACCTATCATCAAAACACAATAGACCGTTCAGAAACAGAGTTATTTAATATATAAGGTACTTTAAATGAGCGGTGAGAGAATGGATTTTGTTGCCCAAATAATTGATGCTGGGATTACATCTAAACCATGTGAAAAAAACCCACCTGTCACTATACTTCAAAATAAATTCCAGACGGATAAAAGACTTAAATCAAAGAAAAATCCATAAAAGTAATAGAATAGAGTGTAAGTGAAAATGCATATACTTTCAGGGTGAGAAAGGATTTTGAGAAGCACAAAACCATAAGTTGAATTCATAAATAAAGGATTAATAAGTTTGAGGATATAAAAAATGAAGAGGTGTCCTGAGCAGGCAGGCCCTGGTGCGTATCCTCAACAGGTTAGAAGGGCCACAGGAGCCTGAACTCTGCTGTCCATGCACATGCAGTCCTGTTGTCTCCAGCCCAATATGTCCCAGAGGCCCCAGGTTCTCATTTATGGGGATGTGTGCTGGGCTCCCTGGACTGTCGCAATGGGGTCACTCTTCTGAAGAGAGTCCCTGGAGGAGACTGATGAGAGTGTGAAAGCAGAGATGGAAGGAATGGCTTATGGACACGGTTGCACCAAGAGTGCCCAATCTCACATCAGCATTTAGAGCATTTTGTTCTTTCCTGTCCTATTCTCTGATTTCCTATCTTGAGTTTTCCTATTCTCTCCACTTTCTGATGTGTGCCTCCAACATCTACCTTTCGTTAACTCTGCCGTTCTCTGAACTTTTCTACTCACATATATACAAACTTGGATCCAATCTGGAATCAGAGGCTCACCATCTCCACCTCTGTGTAGGTCAGGGTCTCTGGGTCACCAGGATTAAAGAATCACTCAGGTTGCCTTACAGGAGGACTTCTTTTATACCAAGAGCACAGTAGAGTAACAACCCAGGAAACTGTTTCTGTAACAGCACAGCTAGGTTTTATGGAATGTGGACCAGTTTATCACAGCACTCTAGCAGCTCAAAGACAATTCTAGTACTGGCCACTTTGGTGGTCTCTCTGTCTCTGTTGGTCTCTTCTCACAGAGTTACGAAGACAGCCTAGAGGAGGAGGTACAGTCTACACTCAGGAAGGGAAACTATACTGATGGAGGCCGTGGAATAGCAGTTAAGAAAAGAGATGTGGAAATCGGACAGACTTGTGACCTGGGCTTGAACGAGGATTTTGCCAGATCTGACATAAGATTTCAAGCAACCTCCCTTCACAAAGAGATGCCAATTACGATAAAGACAAAAACAATACTAAAAATAATATCTTTATCATAAGATTGTTTGGATGATGACGACAATGTATGTATAGTGCTTGACACATAATTGCTCATTATGTCGGCCATTATTGTTTATTATTTTTATTTTAGGGTGACTCCAAGAATGTATTTATCTCACTGCTCAAACTTGTTCTTCTCCTTTCCTACTCCAAGCTCCTGTACTCTTAGGGGAGGTCAATATCACTAGTGTCAGGATCTCTTCAGCCCAGCCCTTGGAACATCCATGCTCTGAAGCACAGACAACACAAGGACTGGATAATATAAGGAGGCCATGAGCAAAGATAGGGCTGGAAACCTGCTCTCCAGTACAGCTAAGGTACTTGCCTTTCTCTGAGGGAAAAAAGCCATCCTTGGAGAATTAATGATTAACAGTCAGATTTGAAATTGGAATGAAAAATGATAAGTAGGCTCAAGAGTCGTCTATGAAAGATGACACTTTCCACTAAGGAGTAGACTGTGCCCTGATGTCTAGCAATTGGGCACAATTCCTGGGACATATGTTACTACTGCTCAGGCTCTTGTAAGGACATTTTTAAAAAGATAATTTCCCATAATTACCATGAAGCATAATAATAATGTGCTTCATCAATATATACCAAACTGAATATTTTCATTTCTTTTTAAAGTGATACAATTTTTAAAAAATGTAAGTCATCTACCCGGTTTTACACATTTGTGTAGCAAAGACACTTGCTCATACAGATTTAAAGTATTAGGGAAATAGTGCAGCCTACTGCGGAGTGAATAGACATGGAGACACACAGAGAGGAAAGTAATGTAATGACTATGGAATCTCTGACGATGAGGTTACCATAATCGCAGATAGGAGAGAGGAAGAGAGACTCCACTCATGGAGGCCATGGAATAGCAGTCTCTCCAGGAAGGAGAGAGTTTTAGGGATGTGAAAACCTGATCATAGCAGAAAGCATGAAGGCTAAGAGGAAAAAAAAGAATGAAAAAAACACAAGGTAAGTGATGCCCCTTAGTGGAAGAACTCTTCTGAGTGGTAAGAGGAGGCAGAGTAGGAGGCAAAATGGACCCAGCAATTCCAGGCAATGGGTAGTGGGAACAGCATACACACAAAGAAGCTCAGCATATAGTATTCATTTGACCCTAAGTACCTTGCTTGATCCCTTCTCCAAGGGCATCTGTGGTCAGAGGTGAGCAAGAGGAGAAAGTTATAAGATAAAGAATTTTCCTCATAACAGTAAGATGCTAATGAGGGGAGGGTGGATCGCTGATGGTTTTTTCCCGTGCAAGTTCTTAACTCCTAAGAAGGGAACGGATGCATTTGCTCCAGATAGAGGGAGCATGTGAGCTTCCTCTCTGCCTCTTTCTCTCTCCTCACTGCTAACTTGACCTCCTTTCTCCTTCCCTCCCGCCTTTCATCTCTCCCTTGCTCTCTTCCTCATTCCTTCCTTGTTTCCTTCTCTCCCTCATCTTTCTCTCCCTTTCTCCTTTTTTTTCCTTCCCTCCTTCACTTTTCCTTCTCTTATCCACAGCCTCTAGACTGACTATAAGCCTAGTAAGGTCACTTTTTAGTCGATATTTCAGAGGTAATTAAATAGATTCTGAGTTGTCAATTTTAAAATGATCCAAAGTCTTAGAGCTCAGAACAGCAATAGGTGGTAGAAATGGACCCTGCGCAGGATTAGAAGCAGGCACGGTATCACAGTAGAACCCATGTCCTTATCTCTTACATTCCCCGCAGGAAAATATGCGGACTCTGATCACCACACAGCTCCTGCCTCTGCTGCTCCTGCTGCTGCAGCCACCGCAGTTTCAAAGGGCTTTTAAATATTATGATTTATCAGATACAGAAGCAGAAGAATTTGAAGATTATTTGGAGGAATTATTTGCTACAGGGCCTACCAAACCACCTACCAAAGAAGATTTCCAAAAGACTGTCATCATTCAGCCTGGAAGACCATTATCTGATCCGGAGTACTGTAATGACGAAATCAAGATGAAAAATGTTCACAACAGGTTGTATTGTAGGAAAGAACATTTCTTTCTCCAAGTAGCATATGAGAAGGTGCAAAAGATCTGTCACAACATATATGTGCCATGTAAGAATGGAGTTAAGAAATGTCACAGGAGCAAGAAACTAATAGAAGGAGTGTATTGCAATTTAACAGCAGGAGTCAAGATGTCATACTGTGAATATGAATCTTTTTACAGGCAAGGATATGCCCTTATCACGTGTCGATGGCAAAATGATATCCAAGAAATTATTCCTGATCATGTAAATGACCTTCAGGTAATATCTGACTAGCAGAAAAACATCATCCACCAGGAAGGTATCTTCCCCCCACCATTCTAGAAGAGTATTTTCTAAGACGTTAGAGTGGAAGGATAGAACCCTCTCCATACTGACCTTATAGGTCAAAATTGAGAATGGTAATTTTGATCCCATTCATTTTAATCATCCGCCTCCCTCCCTTCTTCCCCTGACACCATGCAAAGGCAACATGGGCTAGGTTCACAGATAGTGCACTGAGATGTGGTTTCAAAGAGGTCATGTAATTTAGCACGTTTTGGATGTGTTATGAGGATGAATGCCTGCAGTGATAGGCTGACTAGCACCAAGAGGAATAGGAAATGGTTGCCTGAAGAGTGTTCTAAAGTTATATTCATTGGAATCTCTAGTTCAGTAGAAATAATAAATGGCCTTGACCTAGCAAAGTGTCTCTGGTATGGTTATGAGGGGTTTCTGGGTTTGGAATTATCTTTATCTCTGACACAATTTGAAACAGAAAGAACTCAAAGCTCCTTGAGAAATTATGCAATTCGTCTTTCTAGTGCTATGTTTGCAGCTATTCCACTTGTTCTGTTATTTCTACACAACACAATACTCATGGGGACATAAAGGTGTAGATTCTTATAGGAGACATCTCAGGACAAATATCTAAATGTTCAGGATAGCAAACTCCCCAAAGTACTTTTCAATTATCCAATGCTACTTTTGTGTATTCCCATATCTTTGCTTTAGCTTAGACAACACTGTTCACAAAACTACAAACAATTCCTCAGGTTCTGGCATAGTCACATTTATTCCTTCTTTCCTCACTATCCAGTAGATGTGGCTTCATGTGAGAATATTCCACTTTCAAAAAAGGCTGGAGAATCAGTATGATAAAGGATGTCTATCTGTCCAGTTTAGGTAATAATTTCTCTCCCTTTGTTCATGAAACTTCTTAATATCTTTTAATCACTATTCCCTATAACTTATTGAAAATGGGATAAGGAGTAGTGATGGGGGATGGTGGGGAGAGTGTCTATTATGCTTGCACATTTCGTTGCAATCCAAACTGCTCATCTCCTCCCCATTCCCTATTCTTGTCTTCAGACTCAGAGCTAAGGTCCTAATTTATAATCAGTTGACGTAAATAACGGCCTAGGGCCAAGGGCTTCCAGACCCCATTTCAGTGACTAAGAAAAGGATACCAGAAAATCAAGCTTCTAGATACCACTCTTTACTCAGAAGCTCAGAGATTTTAATTTTAATGCCTGAGTGAATGAGGATCCCATCAAATTTTGGGAATCTCCATGACAACCTCTAAAAGCTAGTCTCCTATACATCAGTTGAACAAGTTCAGCACATAGGCTAGCCTGGGTACATGCTATGGACGATCTCATCTGGACCATGTTCGTCTCATCTATCTTGGGGTTATACAACATACAATATATTTATGGCAGTATGGTATAGTATAATAATTAAAGCATGAAATAATCATAATGTATCCTTCTCTCGAGATAAATGATCTAATCCATACACATTCCAGAATTAGAGTTATGGAAACAGAACAAAGATTATTTACAGAATGTTCCTCTCATCTAATATAGCATAAGAAATCCAGATCCTGGCCTCTACCCACTAGATTTCCTAAGATAAGTCAAAACCATAATTTTCAGCTTCACTCATTGTAAGATTTCAAAATATTATTGTCCAATCTCCATTAGCACTCCCTCGTCAATAATACTAAACTAATAAGATGAATATTGTCCATACCTTACTCACTTCACAATTTATTCTTTATGTTAGCGTCCCTTGAGATGATATACAATTAATTTCTTAAAATTGTGGTAAAATATACATAGTATAAAATCTACCCTTTTTAAGCATACGGTTCAGTGACATTAAGTGCATTCACATTGTTGTGCAATCGTCACCACCAACCATCTCTAGAAATTTTTCATCTTGCAAAAAGAAACTCTGTGCCCATTAAATGATAACTCCCCTTTCATCCCTCCCCTCAGCCCCTGGCAACCACCATCCTACTTTCTGTCTCTATGAATTTGACTACCCTAGGGGCCTCATATATGTGGAACCATACAATATTTGTCCTTTTGTGACTAGCTTATTTCACTTAGCATAATGTCTTCAAGTTTCATCCACACTGTGGCATGAATCATAATTTCCTTCCTCTTTAAGGCCGAATAATATTCCATCAAATGTATACACCACATGTTGTTTAGCCATTCATCCATCACTGGACACTTGTGTTGCTTTCACCATTCGGCTATTGTGAATAATGCTGCTATGAACATGGATGTACCAATATCTGTTTTGGTCCTTGCTTTCAGTTTTTTTGGATGTATACCTGGAAGTGAAATTGGTGGGTAATACGATAATTCTATTTTTAATTATTTGAGGAACCACCACACTCTTTTCCATAGCAGCTATACCATCTTGGATTCCAACAAGTAGTGCACGAGGATTCCAATTTTTCCAATCCTCACCAACACTTGTTAGTTGTTAGTATCCTAATGGGTGTGAGGAGGCGATGTAACATTAATTTTAAATTTTAGTTATGCAGTGAAAGAATGTAGGCAACGGCATTTGCAAGAGTAAGAAAAAAAATAGACACAGCGTTTGTTTCCTAACCAAAATAAATCCAATCGGTATTCTCCTTTGAAAATTTATGATGTAGATGATGTTTTTGAATAAGTAAAGAGCTGAAGAGTATAGTCTAATAAGCAGAGAACATGGTTGCTCCTATCCCCTCTATTCTAGCACAACATTCTCAAATAACATTAGGAGGATGTTATTCTAAATAACATATAGAACGAAAGCTTGCAACTAACCCTGGTGCTGCTCCTTGTTGAAGAAAATTGATGATGCCAAGTTGAACCCTATTCATTTGCCCCTGCATATTTTTGGCGCAAAATTGAATTAATGTTTCTGATTAACTCAGAGCCTATAAGAACTCTTGTTCTAACATTATAATATACATAGTAGTCATAATACCTCATACTATATTTTCTCTATAATACATATAAAGATTTCAAAGTGTTTTCATGTACTCTTTTATTGCTAGTCACCGTAACCCTGTGTCACAGGCAAAGGAGTCGTATTCTCTGTCCACTTTTTGCCCAGAGATAGGCTCTGTCATTTGTCCTGATTACATACAACTTAGGATCAGCAATGAGATCACACATTTTATGTAAATCTTTCTTTTTTTTCCTTTCCCTAAGTTGGATCTTTCACATGTCTGAGACAGAAGGATTTTGACATCTATCAACTATCACATCTATATAAGCATAAGAAAGAAATGGCTCATCCCTTACTCATTGGATTTGGTGCATTCTGTAACTTGCATTGAGTATGAGATAAATATTCTGCCCTAGTTTTCATGGTCAAAAGATTGTAGAAACTGGTAAACAATATCAAGTTCTTCTTAAGAGATCAAAGGAGACAGCTCTAGTAACTTAGAGCCTCCTAAGAGTGACTCTAGTCCTCTCAAAACAAGAAGTAAAATAGGCTTTATCCAAATGAGATTTTGAATTTAGGAACAACTTTTCCACAAGATTGGATTCTTTTTTATTTTTTATTGTGGTAACATTGGTTTACAAGATTGTATAAATTTCAGGGTACATCATTATACTTCTATTTCTGCATAGATTACATCATGTTCTCATGTTCACCACCCAAATAGTAATTACAATCCATCACCACACACATGCCTAATTACAAGATTGGATACTGAGACTACATTTTCCAACCACTAGAATATAAACTTCAAGAGAACAAGGACATTCATATTATATACAGTCATATATTATTATAGACAATGATAATAAGTATATATACAAATGTGCTTACTTAACCCTTACTTCAACGTCGATATTTGACATTCAATTGTCGAAGATTACCTTCCTTCTCTTATTAAAATATATTGATTGTAACTAAGTACAAGCAATATACCACTTCAATATATGCTCTAGTAGTAGTGCCTGAGCAGAGAAAACAGCAGCCAATTTTGGGGATTTCATGAAGCAAAATCTATTATGGATATTGGACTAGAAGTTTGTAAAGTAAATATCAAAATAGAGCACGTCTATGGAGGGGTGGACATTAAGAATATGAAAGGGAGGAATTTCAAGGAGAAAACAAGAGTAAGAGAAAGAGGTATTTTTCCAGGCTGAGAGTAGAGAGAGAACATGAAAACAAGGACTGAACATGAAGAGGCCTCTATACCAGGAATAAGACTTATGTCAGTAAAGGGCAACTTTAAGGGGCATTGTTAGCACATGGGAACTAAGTCATCAGTGAATGTTGTCCAGTATCTGTGCCTTCATATCTTCTATGCCTGTATGAGCTGAGGGTGTCTGAAGGAGTATATCTAGAGATGGCAGAGGGAGACAGACCTAGGTCTCAGTTTCAATGGCACACATTCCCTTGTTAATCTTTAACAGGTTGTTGAACACTCGATAAGAGATATGGTTGCCTAATCTACTCTGACTTAAAGATATTAGGCTGAATCTTTAGATAAATGGACATTGAAAGTCTGTTAGTGTCTCATTTGTTGAAATCCTGACCCCAGCATTTTGGAGAAGGTTATAGTGAAAGGAATTCAACAAGTAGGTGAATATCTGAGACTACTGGTCCTGTAGCCTTCTGTCATAATTCAGGTACTGATGAATCTGATACAACAAAGATTCCTAAAATATGGTACCTCGAACAAATAAAAGTTTATTTCTCTCTTATGTATCCATCCAGGGGGAGGCAACTTGTCCAGGGTGGGAAGGTGGCTCTGCTCCTGTGATCATTGAAGGGATAGGGTTCCTTCCATATTGCCACGCCACCATTTCTCAGCTCTAAGGTGTTGTCTTTGTCCAGTTGGCTGCAGCCAGCTCACCATGGATCTGCATCCCAGTGTATAGGAATGGAAAAAGGTAAAGGCAAGCCAGCTTCCTCTGAAGAGAACATGGCTAGGAATTTGCTCACATTTCTTTAGCTCACATCACACTGGCCAGAACTTAGTGACAAGGACAAATTTAAGGCAAGGAATCTGGAGAATGTAGTCTAGTACTAAAAGGAAGAATAAGAAAATGTATCCTAGGAACCAATTATTAGTCTGTCAAACACCAGATCTGACCCGAGGAAATGTTTTTCTCAATGTAATTGGCTATCATTGTTGTTGCTATTATTCACTCTTCAAACATCTGCCTTGACCAACTCCAGAACTCTACAGGAATTCTGGGAATGTACTCACGACTCATCTGCCTTCTAGTATGAGCATCTCTATGTAGGATTATTATTGAGGAAGAGAGTGTTGCCTCCCTGTGCAGAATCTTATTTCAGTCAACCCAGAAGAGAAGTATAGAATCCATCACCAA